GCACGGAGGTATAGTTTGCTCATTAGATGGTATTTTGATTTAAAAGCTGGATAGCTCTAATCAGGGAAAATACATGCAACAACAATGCTCTATAGTCTAGAGCATCGTTATTGCTAGAACTAGAGTCTAGAGAACATGTGAATAGCCAAAGTAAAAAAAATTTAATATTTGTGAACGTATTAAATAAATTCTAATACAAAATAATAAAATAAAATTAACTTAAAAAACCTTTTAAAAACATTATTAATATTTTTAAATATTTTTGCCATAAAGTTTTCGTACCGAATCTAATTAAAATTTCTGAAACTTTTTCAGTTGCGAATTTTTTAGAAAATAATCATAAAATTCGCACCTCAAAAAAATTCCGCAAATAATTGAAAATCACCTTTTAATTTATGATATAAGTTGATGAAATGATATACATTAATAAATACTTCATAGGTAAACTAATTAGCACTTCGTTGGTTTTTGTGACTTCCTACACATTTAATTAACAGTTATTTAAACGGCGGTGTCACAGTAATTGCCTATTTTTGTTTAGTTGGTTTATACGTAGGTACTTGGATTTGTTTTTGTTGATACAATTTACAGGAAGAAACTAAACATGTAATACCACTTTCGTTTAGTTAGTTAATAGGTACTTGGGTTTGTATATTTAGAATTTGTTTTTGTTGATAAAATTCACAGAAAGAAACTGAACATAATACCACTTTCAAAACAAATAAATAAGTACTTTTCTCATTAAATTTTATATAATTTTTTTATTACAACATATAATTGTTTTTAAAAGTTGGTTTTTATATTTGAGTCTTTTTTAAAACACTTAGCAAATTAACCCCGGTGCATTCGCCATTTTATAAAATGAAAAAAGTTGATATAAAATTATCTTACAAAAATTACACATTTTTATTATCGATAAAGATCTTTATGGACTGTTATCCATACGGATAAAATACATAACATTAAAGAATTTTTAAAATAACCAAAATACCGAAACCGTCTGTAAAAAAACACGTTTGGATCAATCAATTATTACATATTATTATTGTTTATAACATTTAACCGTGGGTTTAGCAATAATTATCTGTGATATAAGGTTGAAAAGGGAGTCTTTTTGTGCTGAGCTTAAAGTTTAAGTGCCGAGGCGTAGCAAAGGCCTGCTGTTGAGCGAAGATTTAAAAAACCTTTTTTAGCCGCATGGCATTTAACATTTTATCTTCAAGGTATTAATACAATAAACGTACAATTATAATAATTGACGCGTTTCTCGGAAAAACATCATTAGTCCAAAATTTGGGAAAATGAAAAAACTCTCCGACATTCCCATTTTTGACCAAAGTACTTTATTGACCTATTTACTACATGTAAAAAAATGTAAGATAATTCGTCCAGAATTCCTCATGTTTGTTTTTTCAAACGAATATGAAAAAAACACAAAAAATACATGAACATGTGAGGTTTTTAGAAGAAAAAAACGAACAATTCTCCTTACTACAAACACTACAAACAAAATATTAACTCTGAGTAACAAAATAAAATGAAACAACTAAAAACTGTATTACTGCCACACTCAGTCTTCGCATCCACTGCTGTTATCATCGTTGTCGACCGTGTTATCAGGACTGTCAGGTGCTATGGTCTTCTGGTCTTTTATCAAGTTATCATAAAATTTTCTATTGCTGTGGTCATGTAAAAGAGGTAGAAGCTTTTCTAGAGTGTCCAAAAATGTCACATGTTATGAATATGTGACTTTCTTAGACGACTTGTGATGTTTTTAGAAGAACAAGCTAAATTTCATATTTAATTATTATGGAACCTATGACATTTTTACGAGAAACACTTATTTTTATACGTATATATGGAGGTTAGGAAACAGTTGGTGCAAATATCTAAATTTCGACGATATTGGACTAATGATGTTTTTCCGAGAAACGCCTCAATTGTTAACAGTAAAAAGTGACGTATGATAAGATTTGATAGTAATCAATTTATGATTTAAACGGTTTTATTCCAGACTAGTAGGTAAAAAAAGTTACCCGTTTGGTCTAAATTATTTTTACAGCCTGTAAGGTATTCTGATTAAAGATAAATAAAATTGTGCCTTAAATGTAAAATGTTGTATGCCATGCGGCTTAGAAGTGATTTTTTGTGCTTCGATTAATTGAGGCCAACGCGTAGCCCAAAAACTTACTTTTTAGCCTTATGACCTTATGACTAGACTATTATTATCATTTATTTACAAATGATAGATGTACTTACTTTTAATTATACCTGCACATATTTTTGAATTACACTTTTTGAAGTATGTTCTAAAAGCCAATGTGCAAAAAGCCAATAACACTTCCCTGTGGGTGATATATTAAGAAGAACGTGCTAAATCTGCCAAAATCATTCTAAAGCCATTTTTCATCAAATATTGTTTAAAAGGTAAAGTCGCCATGTGTTTTGCAAGCATATTAACTTCATGTCCATAGTGTTAACGAATTTTGATATTTACTAGGTAAATACTGTTTGACCCATTTGTTTGAAAGTCAATCCCCTGTTAAATCTTCATTATTAGTATTGCGAAATTTAAAGCCTAAAGTATAAAGCGTCATATTTTTACAAAATTTAAAGCCTGCCATGTCAGTTTTCATCAGTTTATTTTAAAAAATTTATATACCTAAGCAATTTTTTTATTAAATCTATGTACAAGACTAAAAATGGTTTGTTTTATCAACATTTTAATTGAAAACAATTTTGTAGTCAAATTTAAAATATATAATACTGTAATTTTTATAAAATATTCTATCAAGGTATCCATTAAATTAAAAAACATTGAAATAAATAAATAACAGAATATAAATGGGGTATTCCATGCCAAATCGACCACTTTTGAACCCGACCCCTTTTGATCTGGCCAAAAGTTTTCCATTTTTTCTACCCTTTGAAAAACATTTTTGAAAATTTTTTCAAATTCTTTTTATCTAACCCCAAAAAAGTTTTAAATTTTTCAAATAGCCATAACTTTTTCAAAAATTGACCTTTTGGTATATTTTTTTTTTAAATTTTTGTTTTTAAATGAATTTTTCGAAAAAATAGACAAAAAAAATTTAATATGATCAACTCTATAAAATTATCGCTGTTTTTTAATAAAATCGTTATTTTTGCGAAGTTCGCCATTTTTAATTTTTAATTTTTTTTCTCAAAAAACCTTCAATTAATGTTAAAATTATTCCCGCCAATCCCAAAGTGGGCCGATTTTTTTTTATTTAATTGAAAAAAAATTGTCTAATTTTCAAAAATGCATTTTTTTAACTGTCATTAATATAATACCTTAAAATCGTTGAATTGCATTTATTTTATTAAGAACTGTTTTGCTAGTTATAACATAGTGTAAAATAAATTAATAAAAAATAAATATAAAGATTGTGAAAAAAACAAAAATTCATTTTTTTAATTAAATAAAAAAACTAGAAAAAAAATCGGCTCTGGGATTTGCGGGAATAATTGTAATATTAATTGAAGTTTTTTTAGAAACAAAATAAAAAATGGCGAACTTCGCAAAAATAACGATTTTATAAAAAAGCGATAATTTCATAAAGTTGATCATGCAAAATTTTTTTTGTCTATTTTTTTCTAAAATTCATTTAAATGCAAAAATTAAAAAAAAAAGATACCAAAATGTCAATTTTTGAAAAAGTTTTGGTTATTTGAAAATAAAAAACCTATTTTTTTGAAAAATTTATATAAAAAAAATTGAAAAAATTTTCAAAAATGTTTTTCAAAGTGTAGAAAGAATGGAAAACTTTTGGCCAGATCGAAAGGGGTCGGGTTCAAAAGTGGTCGATTTGGCATGGAATAGGTATCCCAAATATTCTTATGCTTAACTTTGACAAATCAATAAATGTAATAAACGTCCAAATATTATTTGTACAATTTATTTGTTTATTAAAATTAAAGCATTGTAGGTAAATTATTAATTTAAACGATTATTAAACTTAAAAATACAATTTACCTAACTAAGCGATTAAAATTTACAGATATACGGCGTTTCCATATCGTTTCAATTATAATAGGGCATTTAAATTAAGCACATTTTTTTTGCAAAAAATAATTTAAATCAGCTAACAAATTTTAATCTTAAAATGTTTTGTGCATACGAAGATTAATCTTATATTTTACATTTTATTTTTTAACTTTTCGGAATTACCTATAGTTTAAATAAAAACATATGCTTCGGCGGTTGTTGTATTATAATAAATGTGTAGAATATAAAATACTATTATGATTGTTTATGCTACAAAAAAGGTGTTAATTATGATGAAATCCATCGCTAAATATCTGCTTGCAATGCGTGTTTATTAGAAATTGTATGGTTGAATTATTATTAATATTTTTTATTGGCTAAACTTCCTATAAAAAATTGAAATCAGAGAAAGTAATAAAAAATATATTTAGCAAGCAATAACTAAAAAGTATTAAAATGTAATAGATAATGATAATGAAACGGTTCAATTAGTTTTAAAGCCCTTAGTTTAAATTATATTTTGTATATTTTTTGATTTAATTATAATATAATGTTTTTGCTGTTTTTTTTTATTTTGGTAAGATAAATTTCTAAATAATTGCCTTAGATTTTAAATAATTGTCTTTTTTAGAATTTAATTTTTTAGGTATCAAATATTTGTTTTAGTTAAAAATCAGTTTTCTAAAATAATTCATGTAAAAAAATCTAAATCGCAACAATCTCTTATTTAAAATTAGGGGATTTTATTAAAACTTAAAACTTTTTGTATTTTAAGCTATTAAAAAACAAAGAAAAACGGTTGAATTTTTTTCAGGTTCTACCGAAATCGTTAATTTTTTACATTAAACCAACTTTTGTTTGCTTTTTTTCTATTTTGTTTATTTAACCTTTTTATGACCAAGTATGACCGAATTGTTGTTTTTTTATTAAAAAATATTATATATTTTTAGCAACGAATGAAAACACAATAAATGGAATTTAAACTTTCAAAATGGCTGTGGACCCGTGGTTTCAAAATTGGCATCCACCAGCAGGTCTGGTGAACACTCCACCGTTTAATCCATTTTTATCATCTTTTGAATCAAAGAAAACCTATCAAAATAAGTCAAGTATCCATGGTAAGTACTTTGCGTTACGAGAAAGCAACATTTTTTTGGGCTAATTTAAGCGCGTTAAAACTAAAATTGACCATTATTTTGATTAATCATCCATTGTTTCTACTTGTTTTTTTAATATATGCAATATATATATATATATATATATATATATATATATATATATATTGCAAAAGGTAATGTAGGTATAAGATCCCTTAATTCAGACCAACGTATCTCCTGTCTAAAATTTAGGGGCCTGTTTTTCTGTTAATGCAAAAGAAAAGACACAAATGTAATTTTTCAACAATATTTGATAACCATCAGAATTCACTTTAAAATTTCAAGAGCAGGTCATTTCTTTACTAGTTAAACAAAAAATAAATGAAGAAAATAAATCAAAAACTATTTCACTGATTCAAGCAAAGAAAATACAATTTTACGGTTGTTATAAATCCAGAGATCTAAACAAAAATTGGAGAAGAAATAACTACCTTAGCCAAAAAACAACTTGTGGGGTTGAAAGTGTTATGGGAGTAGGTTCTAAAAACAGCAGTATTAGCGTATTTATTCAATAAGTTAAGGAAAATCCATTTGAGTTCCATTTGATGTTTGGAAAATATGGAATCGAAGGGTTTTTAAAAATATTTATACATTCAATGAACTAAAAATATGAAATTGGAAATTTCGACAAAAGTACACGGAAGAAATAGTTGCTATACGATTTAAAGAATATTATAGAAATGTGTCAAAATTATGAGCTGCAATTAACATCAACGATTGTGTGACAAAAATTGCTACTAACAACTTGCATTTATCTGGCGCTTTTTTTATCTAATACACCTTATGCTCGGCAATGTTAACGCGTTGTTTACGCATATATTTATTGATCTTGAAAAGGAAGCCTTGGCAGGGGGCACAACATTCACATATACAACGTGAGGTAACTTATGGCGGTCCTTCTTTCAAGGAAAACGCGTGGATAAGATTAGTATCTTACGAGATTGCAACGTGGGCTGCTTTAAATTTGTGAAAGCCTTTGAAGACTTAAGGTCAGTGGTTTAATCATGTTTTGGTTAAGTTTTAAATCCAAAGTTTAAAACTTCTAAATTATTTAAATTCCAGCAGTTTTTGTGATAAAAGGCAAGCTTTTTTAATGAAAAGGCAATGGAGTCTGTGTATTTTGCTTTTAATTTAGTATGGAAAAAATAATAACAATAAGTCTCCAGAAACCTTTCAAACTACCTACCTAGAAAGGAGAATATAATAGTATTTTTCTCCTTCTATCACAGAATATGACCGTTTGTATATCACTTCTTAATGTGGAATTACCTATATTCCCTAAAAATTTACAGAATGAATTATTCTATCATAGGATGACGAAATAAACACTGGTGGCGATATCTCTGTGTTTATTTTCTAGCAACTTTTAAAACTATTCAACCTCAGTTTATCCCAATTTGCCTTCGGCTCGTGTGAGAAACTTTTTATTCGAGGGAAGATGCCGTATTCCAAATATGTTACATCTAATTTTTTTTCTGGAGAAAAAAAATATGAAAGTGCATTTATAGACACGCGATGGATGCGTGCGTGGCAAGAATGCAAGCTAATAATGGACCATTCTTTACAAGTTTTACCTATTATTTTGTCCAAAAAATTAATTAAAAATTAAAAAAAAAATAACAGTTTTGTAGAAATAATGTGTACTGTTGACACTACCAGCTTAACAGATACGTGTTTTGGTTTTGAGGTTAAGTTTTATAAAATTAAAATTATATTTATGTATGTATCATCTGTGTGTAAAAAATAGCTGTAACTTATTATTAGGGATGGGATTTTAGTTATTTTACCTTTTTTCAACCGATGTAACTATTTGAAAACCAATAAAGCCAAAATGTGTTTTAAAAGATTTTCTTTTATATGAACCTAACTTGTTTTTACCTTTTTTACCTTTTTTGGAGGTTTTTGCTTTAAACTACCTTTTTTATACTTTTGTTACCTATTTTTTTTTAACTTGTTTTCACCTTTTTTACCTTTTTTTGGAGGTTTTTGCTTTAAACAACCTTTTTATACTTTTGTTACATATTTTTTAATTTGTCAGTTTATTTTCACCTATTTGTTACCTATTTTTACGTATTTATACTTATTTTATTTTTTTGTGTTCTTTTTAAATTTTGCGCCAATATTTTATTCAGGCGTGCAACTCAACGGTATAGAATTTTTTCTTATGGTCACAGACTGTAACAGTAACTTTCTTTACAGTTACCTTCTTTGTAGTGAGCTTATGTTCTGTCATAGAACTTCTGTGTAGTGAGTGTCACTCAGTGAAACACAGTTTATTGCATATAAATAGTTTATTGTGGGTATGTTCTGTGTTTAGGTATGCGGCTAAACAAAATTATAAACGAAACTTGAACTTTTAATGTTTTTTTTTTACCTAAAATGCTGTTTTTTTAACCTAAAATGCTTTTTTTAGTACCTTTTTAGTTACCTATTTTTCAGTTTTTAGTACCTAAATATCCCATCTTTACTTATTATTTATAATTGTTTTCTTTTTCTTCTTCTTCAAAAATTAAATTATTGCACTAGTAAAACAATATTTTTATTATGTAACTAGTGTAACATTTTTTAATGTTTTCGAGAGAATAATACATTGACACATGTGTTAATTCAACGTAAGTGTTGGATAAACGTTTTTTATTACAGTATCGTGAAATTTAGCAAAATTATGGTCATTTTTTAATTCAGCGCACTCAAATTACTATATAAAAAATATAGCGACCCTGCAGCAATAAATTAATTAAAATAATTATTATAATATAACAAATAAATAAATAACATTATAATTAGGTACAGGTAATGAATGTGTTAAATTGAATAAACATGTAGTAGAGTTTGCTAATATATAAGTCAAGGAACAAGATTTTCCGTACAAATGCAAATTATATAATCTAAATTGTATTAAATTAGTGATATAAAGCTAATAAAAAAATGCATGTTTTCGTTTGATTAAATCATAATGTGAAATTTACTCTATGTATAAGTTATAATATTGTATAATAATATTTATTTAACCATTAAAAGTAAAATTAACCTTAAAAATCCACTTTGGTTAAAAGCAAGGAAGTGTTAAATAATAAACATTTTTTAAACATTTCAGATTTAAAACATCTATCTGCAAGAGGACCAGATAACATACTACCATACCTACTAACACTAAGCCTGGTAAAACACCGTCCTAGGTATGAAAGATACGACAGAAAACCACTGGAAATATCAGGACCATTTAAAACTTGGTATCATTGGAACGTACTGGACTTTGACTACACCCTTGATGAAAGGGCAGAAGCCATAGCTTTCGAGGAGTTTATACCGGAAAATAATTTACCATTAGGTGTTGAGATTTACAAGGATAGAATATTTATATCTATGCCTAAATGGAAACCTGGAGTTCCTGTTACTTTGGCTGTATTGCCTAGAATACCTAGGGAGGCTTCTCCCAAATTAAAGCCTTATCCGAACTGGAAATGGCATAAACACGGTAATAAATATTTATACAGTAAATAAACATTATATATGTATAATAATTAATATGTTTTAGATACTTGTGATGGAATCGTGTCTGTGTTTAGAGTCCAAGCAGACTCCTGTGGAAGACTATGGGTTTTAGACTCTGGACTAGTTGAAGTAACCATAGAACCAAAACAAATATGCCCCCCAAAAGTATTAGTTTTTGATCTTAACACAGACAAATTAATTTATAAATACGTTTTCCCACCTGAGTTTATTAAACAAGACTCCCTATACTCCAATATTTTGGTAGATATAAGGGGAAATAAATGTGAAAATGCTCACGTTTATTTAGCTGACGTATGGAGGTTTGGTTTGGTTGTATTTAGTTGGGAGAAAAAACGCGCTTGGAGGGTTACAGACCACTTATTTTTCCCAGATCCTTTAGCAGCTAGGTATACGTTGCACGATCTTGAATTTGACTGGACTGATGGTATATTTGGTTTAGCTTTAAGTCCATATGATACAAATAAAGATGATAGGTTGCTCTATTTTCATCCTATGTCGAGTTTTAGAGAGTTCTATGTTAAAACGTCAGTGATCTGCAATGAAACTGGTTGGATGGATGTTAAGAATGCCTTTAAAGTCATGGGACAATCTCGTGGACCTTCAGGTCATGTTTCAACTTCTGCAGTTGACAGGAATGGTATAATGTTCTTTAATATGGTTACAAGAGATACTGTAGGGTGCTGGGATACAAGAAAACCATACAAAAGACAAAATTTGGGCATCGTAGATCAAAACCCCGAAACTTTATTATTTCCTAACGATCTCAAAATCGACCAAGATCATAGACAGAGCGTTTGGGTTATTAGCAATGGTTTGCCATATTATTTGTACAGAGGGTTGGACACAAATAAAATTAATTTTCGGGTTATGTCAGCATACGTAGATGAAGCCATTAATGGCACAATATGTGACCCCAATATATCATATCCTTCAGTTTTTATTGAGCATTCGGGTGATGATTGTTATTAATGTTCTTAAAATCTAAGTCATCAAATGTATTTATATATTTTTAAATAAACATTCTAAAAATTATTTATGTTCTTTGTCTGTTTCCAAAAACATGTTGACTAGTTCGTTTTCATTTTGTTTCACGTTTTCTTCTTCAATGCAGTCATAAAAATAGGAGTCCAATGTTTGACTTGGTGCAAATCTGATGTTTTTGTATCTATAGGCAACTCCTTTTTTGATAAAGAAACTAGCGCTTGATACCTTAGATAAAATTCTTGAAGTCCCTACAATAAAAATTTTAAGCGAAAATTTATGATTTATCTTTGAACACTTACCCACATAAGTTAATGCATCCAACGTAATATCAGAGAGTATCTTTAAAGTTCTGCCACTTTGCTCTTGTTTAGCTTTAGTTATATCATCTGACAAAATATTTAATAACTTTTTGGCTCTTTCGCAAACATTATTTTCACTTTGATTATCTTTTTCCTCTGAAAAATCTTCTGTATTCATTATTTCTTCTTTTTCCTCTTCAGCGGCTTTAAAAGCAAGCAAAGAATCCAAAGAGCGTGATTTAGTAATTACAGTATTTTGTAGATGATGTAAAAGAGTTTCTATTGTAGATTCGCTTATTAAGTTTCTTCCATCATCGGCTTTTTCGTTAAATTTTAAATGTAAAGACATTGATCTAGCTTTTTTACGTCGTATAAGCTGCTTAACTTCGAATTCATTTTGTTTTATTTGATCTTCTTTTGATTTTATTTTTAACTCCTTATAAAAACTTTAATACAAGTTAAACATAAAAACAGCAAATATATTTATATATACCTTAAAACTACAAACCAGGAGTATACAGCAGGTCCGTGGTCTATGAATTGTGCTAGTACATATTCAAAGCAAACAGGTTTAAGTCCTTCATGGGTGATGCACAGGTATGAACCTAATAGTAGGGTGGTTAGGTTTGCCAGAAGGTATCTAAATATGCCCACTGCCAGCCAGGGTAGTAGTAGGTTATGACGGTCTCCCTATAAAAAGAGGATTAATATTATTCTGTAATATTTTAAAAGGGTATAGCTATAGCTTTAATGAAAAGTATAATAATATTTTTTAACTTATCCCTCTATGCCTTTTAACCAGAGAAATAGTGTTATTGTCTGGCGTTTAACAGCACATTTTTGCATGAGAATATAAAAAGAAAGTCTTTTTCCAGCTAAATATTTTTCTTCTTAGCACCCAATTTATGATTGTATGTACCTGACGATATTCATTTTTGCCATATCTACATACTTGGCCTAGTGGGGTCTGGCATAACTTATCCTGGGAGAAAAAGCAAACTCCATTGGCAATATTCGAAACCTTAGTTGGGCAACCTAATATTTTTCAATAAGTGATGCTTCTCAAACTTGCGGATGGTAAATATGCTATTACTGATAACACTATGTAACATGATATTTGTTTATCTGGATTTTATTACACAAATTGTAGTAGGCCATGCCCCCGATTACGTAACATACATTTGTTTTTTCAAACTGTCAAATTTTCAAAGACAGCCGTCAGATCGTGTTGATGGCTTTGAGTGTCATTAGGGGACATCTATTAATTGCGTGAGGCATATTTCTGCAGATCATGATAATTTATCATGATAATTTAGACTCCTCCCTCCCCCTTGGTGAGATGTGGTAGACCCCCCACTATCCCTCACGTAAGATTTTGGCCATTAAACTTTCTTTGTGGGCAACATGTAAAAAATTAATATTTTTTTTACAAAAATTGGATTATAATACATATTTTTTAAACTCAAAAGTTAACGTGAGATTTTCAATGAAAGGTTTCTTTGGTAACCACAAAAGAGAAAATTATACTGATTTTGTCAAAGTTTTATTAGGAAGTTTTAAAGAAATGGGATGCCGCATGTCGTTGAAAGTACCTACACTATTTGCATTCGCATCTTGACTTTTTCCGTGAAAATCTGGGAGATGTCAGCGAAGAACATGAAAAAAGATTCCATCAAGATATTCGGAAAATGGAAAAGTGATAACAAGGAAGGTGGGATGCGACAATGATGGGTGACTATGTTTGGAATCTACTTCTGGAAGAAAATGCATCATATAAAAGAAAAAGTCGTATTAAAATTCATTTTTGAGCCAAGATTTAAAATCTATGTAAGAAAATATTTTTCTAGATTGTATGTTTTGTTAAAATAATAATTCAAGTTGAATTTCTTGCCATTTCTTGTCAATATTTTTTTTTGTTTTTGATAAAACTGGGTTGGAAAAACTTATCACTACATTTTTTAAATTAAGTTAGAATAGTTTTTTGGCACACAAATATTGATAATTTAACAAAAAAATCCAATAAACAAAACAAAAATCAAATTTTGTTACCCAGTGTAATAATTACTAACTAATAGGGTTTTAACTAAATATGCAATTAAAATTGAGTTGCTTCAAGCAACTTGCTTGGGTTTCTTAAAACTCGCTTTGTTTTGAAGATATCAACATTTTTTTTTTACTTGTATAACACCATAAATTATTAAAAAAAACCATACCCTTTTTAATTTTTCGCATGTTTGGAAAACTATATAGTATAATAACAATTAAAAAAATTAAATGGAAGAAGTCGGCGACCTTTAGATGTATATTTTTAAATATAACAGTACCTATACTCTGTAACAAGTTTGAAATATAGCACAGTTTTTTTTTACGAGAGCGGAATATGCAATTCCAAACAAGTTTTACTCTTATAAAAAATATCACAAAGAAATAATTTTATTGGAAAAAAGTAAGGTAAGAGTTGTCTGACAGACAATAATTTAACTGAAAGAAAGTAAGGTTGGAACTGTCTGACAGATATCAGATTTTATAATAGTATATGAGATGCGACTATGATGATTTTGAAATAAGCTACCCGATTAGTCAAAATAAAAAGAGATGTCGCCACCTTTGCCCATCATTAAAACCGGTAAAAAAATGAGTTTATTCTAAACTTTAAGGAATAGCAGTAATTTCACATTAAAAGGTAATATTATTAATATTTAAATATTTGTTTTTAACTATTTTAAATTACAGTTTGCTAAAAATAGAATTCTGACAATTAAAAAAATATATGATTTTGTACACTTATTATGAAATATTCCCATTTTAATATAACTTTTTAATGTGAAATTATCATAATCCGTTATAAGTATAGAAAAATTTAGAAAATACTTAAATACAAATATGTATATATTAATATTATTGCTGTAGATTGTTTATTGTTATTATCAAGTTAATACGTAAAAAACATTTCCATCGTTTTCAAATTATTGACTTTCTCCAAGTTATCCTATTTAAACATGATTTAAATTCCTGCACACCTTTTCTTTAATGCAATTTTTCTTATTAAAAGCGTAATTTACTGTTTTCAAACACGATGGTTGCATTAATACGCTGAGAGGGAAATCATGAAAGCCACTTGTTTGTCTAATAATTCTGGCCGATTTAAAAGTGAATTTGCTTAATTCATTTGGGCATATAGTAGGTAAGCATAGCCGTAGGTTTCTATTTAGAAATGTTTAACAATATAATTGCAAAATAATGGTAGGTATACATACCTACGTGTTTATACTACAGCACAAATGAAAGAAAAACATGTATGTATAGCTTTAAAAGTAAAAAATTGATTTACACGATTTTCTATTAAAAAACATTGACAAATAATATTAAGACAGTTTTAATACATTCTAAAGAATTTTTTACATCATAAGAATCGTTAAGAAAGAAATTCTGCATTTTATTTTTTTATTATTATTTCGTCCCATTTAACCGAAATCTCAACTAAATTAAAAATCATCTTCGTAAAATTTTGGAGATGCCTATTAATGAAGCTCTTTTCTGAAAAATGCTTTAAAACATGACATAATTGTGGGACAATATAATATGCACAACTCGTGAAGAATGGTCGATTATGAACGCGAATTAAACTAATGAAAATTAAGAATACAATACAAACTTGTAACTTAAAAAATGGTTCCGCATGATCGGTAGACGGTGGCTAATTACATTTCACCGCTGTCGCTGTATAAGGCCATGGCTGCGAATTTTTAGCATGTTACAGTGCCTTCCACACCACAGCTATCCGGCACTAATGAAGTCTTATAGGACCGAAACAGGCTGTCTGTCGGTGCCTGGTTGTGTAGTAAGTTTAAAACAAAAGCAACGGTGTTGGGGTATTTGGCCAGTTCTCACATCTTTAAAGTAGATTGATGCAGTATTGTAAAAATCTAACTTTGGTATAAAAAGTCTTTTTAACTTCTACTGTATTATATTAATTGTGTAAACATTGAGAGTTGCTAATAAAATACATTGTTTTGCTACTTAAAGCTCTAACTTTGTTTTCTTTCAGAAATAGTTCCTGACTAGGTTATTTAAGTATAATTTCTCCAGCATTATAATCAAGTTACATTCTTGTAAAAAAATAAAGTATTATTGTTTAACTTCCTTATTATTATTCGTGTGGCGTTCTAATATCTATTACTTGTAATTCGATATTTATTATACTGTAGGTAGACATTGACCACGTTTGGATAAATATTGCTTACAAAGCATATAAAATCATTATAGTACATAATTAATAAATTAATAGAGTTTAATGAACCTCGTTAACACATTAATTTTAGTTATTAAATAAAATCTTCTTTTACTTACAAATACTGCAGGCCAAAGCATGACAACATAAAGTGCCAAACATAAATGCAGTGTAAAAGTTCTAGTCAATACCACGGCAGTTAAAATATATTTAATATAAATCTGGTGCATGATAGGGTAAATTCTAATATCCAATATTAAATCCCATATTTGTTCTATGTTCCTTTTCAAGTTAAATAAAGATGAATCAAAAACTGATATTCCAAATCCTATGAGAATTATTAAAAGAACTTCATAGTGTTTATTAAGGCCAAAAAGTTTTCCTATAAAGTACATTTTATGACAAAAATAAAAGTCATTTTTGGCAGTACCATCAAAAAGGTTGGCAAAACTGTCAGATATAATAGACAGTCTCTATGGACAGTCTATTATAAATCAGATGTTTAGGTGCAAAACTCACTTTTTGTGCTAAAATCCTAGTTTTCGGCAATGTGCAGACTAGTATATTCTGGAACAAGTTTGGAATACAGCATATTCCGCTCGAGTGAAGAGTTTGTCACACGAGCCGAAGGCGAGTTTGACGGTTTCACGAGAGCGGAATATGCAATTCCAAACGTGTTTCAGACTATACTTTTTCTACGTTTTCAAAAAATACCATAGAAAAATAATTTAATTGGAAGAAAGTGAGGTTGGATCGGTTTAAAATTTGTTAGATATTAAAAACAGAGATGTCGCCACGAGTGTTTATTCTGTCATCCGATGATAGAATATTTCATTCTGTAACACTTTACGGAATATATGTCATTCCATAGATAAAAGTGATATTAGAACGGTCAAATTCCGTAATATGAGTAGAAAAAACTGTTTTGGAATTGCATATTCCGCTCTCGTGAAACCGTCAAACTCGCCTTCGGCTCGTGTGACACTCTTCACTCGAGCGGAATATGCTATGTTCCAAACTTGTTACAGAATATACTATTTTATGTTATGTTGTTTAACTTTGTTTATTTAATTACTAGATAGCACTATATGTATATAAATGACAGGTATATGATTTTTATATCATTATCCCACGAATAAGTAAGAATAAAGCCTGAATTATAGATTGCCTTCCTTCCTTCCTTCCTTCCTTCCTTTCTTTCCTCCTCCTTCCTCCCATAGAAGATACAATACGAAAATCGTAGTGCCATTTAGAGATTTTCGTACGGAACAAGAGGTTTTTGTATTGTTCATCTTCTACGGGAGGAAGGAAGGAAGGAAGGAAGACAATCTATAAATCAGGCTTTAAGCTTTTAAAATTGCAAAAAGAGAGTTTTGCAACTGATGACAACACATAAAAAATAAGGATTAATAAGGGTTATTGGTACAAAATAGACAATGTATATTTTATTAAATAACTAATAATCTAGATGTAAACTGCTCGCTTGACATGCGAGAGGTATCAGGCGGCTTCACAATTATAAAAAATTTAAATATACATTTTAAATTAATACTATTTGTAGCATAAAATGTTTGTTAATAGTTAATTCGGTTTTTAGTTTTTTATTCATCGCGTGCAAATGGTTTAAGCGTTGATTGAAAATCTTCACAGTAACTTTTGCTTCCAAATGTTAGAAGTGAGTTTTTGACCCCACAGTATATTTTATTTCAGTTTAACCACAATCCACACAACCAGGTATCTTCGATCTCGTACTAAAAATACTAAAAATCACTGCAACACTGCACAACATTTAATAGCGGCCATTTTTGTTATTTACAATTCTTGTGCTTTGGTTTGGTACAGATTATTAATCGTTTTAAACGTTGTGTTTCTTACAGAGAGACTTAGCCTTAAAAGAGACCTCAAAGTGGTAAGAACAATCATTTTTCCCCTCTTTTGTAAAAAATAAACCTTATTTTATCAAGGCTGTTATCAAACAAATGTCAATTTTAAGGTTATTCTTAACCCATAAATTAACCTTTAAATTGGCATTTGACAGCGCTGATAGAACAGGGTTTATTTTTTACAAAAAAGGAGTAAAATGATTGTTGTAAAATAGTATTTTATTATATAGGAGATAATGCATGCTATTTTTTACGAGGATAAGGTTTGCATCTCGAGTCACCAGACGAGATACGCAAATCATTTGAGTAATTTGTATAGTTTGAGTAATACTATAGTTTTTCTGTTTGTATACCATAATAAGCACAATACGTATACACAGACGTATACAATACGCATTTGCGTTTCGTACTGTCTTTAAGGCAATAGTAGGATACGCTAATATAATTTATAATTAGAATTTTTTTTTAAATTTTGACATATAGAAAAAAAAGTATAAATCACTCAAGTCAGAAGACATTTGCTCGCAATTGTCCATTACAAAACTCGCTCATTCTTCGCTTGTTTTGTCCTCGTGTGAAAAATGATTTTTGTATATATTAATAATATTGATAAATAAAATATAACATCTGTCAGATTGTTAACCTCACTTTCTACCAATTTAAAATATCATTAGTCGCTGTCTTCCAATTTTAAATCCGATTGGTTGGAATCACCGTGTGTAATGAAATCGGCTCCAACAACGGGTATAATGAGTTCATTATTTACGTTGTTAATAATAATAATAATGGGTATCATTATATACGAAAACAATATTATGCAATAGGAGTACATAAAATTAATAAAAATACCGGTAAAATATATATTTAAGAAACAACATAAATACATTAGTAACAAAAAATTAATACAGGTTTCCATAATTGTTACAAAAATATAGTATAGTATATATCTAAAAAATAAATAATATTCTATACCTAAAAATAAATTAAAATGTATAGTATAACATAATTCTTAATTATACTAAGTATAAATTATTAACAAATAAAAAATTGTACGATGTTAGAAAATTAACAATACTAAATGAGTTTAGACAAAATCCTAAGCAAAGAATGGGGCATATTTAAGTATGTGGAAGTTAAAATTAAATATTTTTGATGTCAGTCTTATTGTAAGCCCCTAAAAACTTAAACATTGAAAATATTATTAATTAATATTGTCTCCTAAAGGGGTCTTTAGTGTACGCTCCTCTTCCAGATTCTTGGTATATAATGTAAAAGAAACTAAATGCTATAAGCCACATATAGCAGTAAACAACTACAAAATAAAATTATTATTAATAAATTAATTTAAAAAAGCATGTTTTACCGAAAGCTATAAGTCCCAGGACCAACCAGAGGGAACCATTTAAATTATCATGTTCAATATAAAAGTTAATTGAAGTTCTTAGTATAGATACTAACAAACCAATAGCCAACATAAATCCTAATATAATCCAAGGTGCCATAAGATACATATTACGCTAAAAATAACAAAAAACATCACAAAACAGTAAATTATACAAATACAAATAGTTGAAAAACTCACCACAAAAATAAAGTAGAAAATCAGAAAAAATATTAATTTAGATTTCATTGATACGATTTGCAATTGATAATTGAAAAATTAAAACTACTTATTTACTGAGTAGACAATTTTAAAGAACTAAATTAAAATGTGTTGATAAAAAAAATTAATTCATATTTAGTTTATGTTGTTTATTAAATTAAATAAACGGTTTCTTTATTACTTCTACTGTTTTTAAGTTTGATGTGCTTATTTGTTTACAAATAAAAGATAATTAGAGATAACTCTTTATGTAAAAATGCAGATAAATATATACTATTATGAAATGTAAAATGTAATACTTACTTTTAAGGTTCCAGCTATGAGAAGAGACGATATAATTATAGTCATTACCAGGTTTATGACAATAATAATTTGAACTAAAAAAAGGAAAATCTGTAATTTTGTATTTATTTTAAGGTATTTTAAGGTGTTTAATTTTATTTAATTTAATTTACTTACCAATCCATTTTGGAAGCCAGTCTAGCACAATGGTTTTAAGGTCTACGTTTACCAATAAAATTACTATTATCCCAATAATAGCTAATATCTAAAAAAGTAACGTATTAAGACTTGAATATTAAATTAGATTGCCTTTTATACTAGTATAGTAGGTTAAGAAAAAAAAAACAAATAAAAAAATGTAGTTGTATTTTTTTAATACAACAGTATTTAATTTCCAAAAAAAATCAACCAAATGTAATACGTTCGGTGGAAAAAATTATTTAGCGAGAAAAATAGATTAAAAGTAAGAAAGTTAGAAAGCAGGACACATGTAACTAATTGTAATTAAAAATAAATAAAAAAAATAACAATGATGAGGTAAATGAGAATAAGTGTAGTTCAGACAAAATCGCGAGCAAAGAATGGCGCACATTTAAGTACCTACGTGGAAGTAAAACTAAAATATTTTTGATGTTAGTCTTAAAGCTCATTCACATCCACTTAATAAGCGTAACTTAACTTAACTTACGTGAGAGACGTAAGTTGAAATACATTGAAACCAATGCAGCTGTTTACATTCGTAGAAAACTTATCACACGTAACTTAACGTATTCAAAAGTTGGGTCCGGCTCAACTTAAGGGAATACGTTTCTTACGTGAGCCAATCACATGCCCAGTAAAACGATATAGCGCAATCTTGTTGTTTCACTTTTATATATAGATAGGCAACCCAGTCTACATCGATGTATACATTGCGCGTGCTTGTATATTACGTTCTTTGCGTGTATTAAGTTAATGTAAACATACAACAGACGTAGGTTTCTTAAGTTAAGTTAAGTTACGCTTATTAAGTGGATGTGAATGAGCTTTTATTGTAATCCCCTAAAAACTTAAACGCTATAAGTTATAGTTATAGCCTATAACGCTTACCAAATACCATTTTTTTTTAAATTACAATTGCAATATTTGTTGTCCTTTATTAATAAAATTCTTACTTAACCTACATGGCAAGTCGCGTATTTACGATATAATTTATATACAACAAGATGCAATACTTATACTTTTGAAGTAAAACTTGTTTATTACGATTTTATTTTTTTTATTTAATTTAATCTAATTTAAAAACGAGGGTAGGTCAATGGGTCCGTGACTTTTTGAATTTTCCTCCATGTAAGTGTGACAGTCCAAAAGGAGAATTTTGTGCTTTTTTCAAGCGTTATTTTTTTAGGCAAAAACGATTACATTCTGGTCGCATAACAAAGGTCAATACACCAAAAAAATTGTAAAAGCTCAGTCGCTTTATTTTTAAAATGCTCTTAGGTATAAAACGGCCATCCGAAAGATGGGTGCCAAGTTTGTTTAAACTTAAACAAAGCGCGATCATATTTTGCTATTTAGATTATGAGGAAAACCATTGCAAAAATCCTGTTGGGAGATCGGAGAATAAATGTGCATGAGATTGTAGAAGCCATATGACAGTCGCTTTATTTTGAAATTTCACATGGGTATAAAAAAGCTATTCGAAAGATGACTGCCAAATTTGTTCAAACTTGACCAAAGCGCAAATATATCTTACTATTTGGAGTATGAGTATACATAAGTATGAGTATGAAAAACGTATAGCTTGCCCCATCAGTGCCATCATACACTGATCTTCCAGAGTTATATTTTACCCTTTCGGTTCTCCTAAGTATCCCGCAACTGCACAGGATTAGCTGTGTTTGGTGAAAGTTTAACCCCGGCTGGAAAATCACCCTTTGTAGATCGTGGACGACAGTGTCGATGGTTAACACCCCTCCCGGAATTTTGTCGCCGGGCTGGGCCATACGGACGATTAGGCTAGTGGAGTTGGAGACAATTGTTAACCTTTTGGTTTTTATGGAACGTTAGACTAACCCAAAACTCAACCAGGGATTTAGTAAACACCCACATTCAATTGGGGTTTATGAATAGGGCTTGGTTGGTTAATACGCTGTAGGGGCACATCTTGTTTCTTGAGGTAAGTACTTCTTGTTCGTCTGCGTCCGTGTCTCTGCTGAAAGTTACTATGCTGAAATTCGGAGACCGCTGTTCACAAATTGTTTTTCTCACTGTGCAAAAGCTGTTTCCACGACAGGTTATTTGTGTTGCTGCTCTGACTGGAAAATTAGGCTACTCATTCCATGTACTGACTTCAGGGAAGATTCAGCCATATTTGCCAGTCGTTTAATTTCTGAAATTAGTAACCGTTACATAGTTTATTTTACCCCAATTTTATAAGAAATTATACGTTCTTTATAGAGAAGGCCACTTTGGTTAGGTACTTAATTTTTGGCCTTTGTTAACAACCTTTGTAGGCGCCGAATTTATTTATTTAGGTTGAACCTAAAGTTGGCTGAATAACGTTGCTATTTAATTAAATTTTTATTTCTTGCCATTGCTGTTGGTCATGCGATTAATTAAATGTACTTAGTCCCTAGTTCCGCTTTTGTTTCCCACGGTTATTTTCAGGTATGCATAAGAGGAATCATGTCCACAGGGGTCCTCAAGGGTGAATAGGTCTTTCAAGAATGTACTCAAAAACTGTTTATGGGGTATTTTTCGGGAACGTTTGGTCTCCTCAAAATCACTTTCATTGAAATCCCACCTGGTCGGAAACTTAAAATATTTAGACGTTTTTATTTTTTTATTTTTGGTCATTTTTAAAAGATGAGGGACTGTTTGGTTTTCCAATTTAGAAAAAAGTGCCTGTTTCTGATATTAAAAATTATAAGCAGTTTCTATAAAAAATTAAATTAAATCATTTTAAAGTGTATACCGTATACGGTATTATAACAACATGTTAGCATAACACAACATATAAACTATAAATGAGTTGATGAAAACTCTACTACTGCTTTTAGTAACAAACATTTATTTTATACTTTTCCCAAGTTTTGAGGAACTCCCCCGGCTGTTCGGACCATATACCCAAAGCTTCATTATTTAAGAATTTAATTCCATCTACAAGATGGTTTAAAGCAATATGAATTTTTAAAGTTGTTGAGAGATTAGTTGCTTTAAAACGTTTTCTAAAGTTTTCGATATCCTGAACAAGATCGTTTTATTCAACTCATTTATAGTTTATAAATCGTGTTATGTTAACAGGTTGTTACGGGATACACTTTAAAATGATTTAATTTAATTTTTTATAGAAACTGGTTATAATTTTTAATAAATATATGTTTTGGAATATCAGAAACAGGCATTTTTTCTAAATTGGAAAACCAAACAGTCCCTCATCTCTTAGAAATGACCACAAAAAATAAACAAATCTAAATATTTTAAGTTTCCGATCAGGTGGGATTTCAATGAAAGTGATTTTGAGGAGGCCAAACGTTCCTGAAAAATACCCCATAAACAGTTTTTGAGTACATTCTTGAAAGACCTATTCACCCTTGAGGACCCCTGTGTGTTACTTAACACTGATTTGTATCCGTAATATTTAGCGCTATATTACTGCACTTGGTGTGAACTGCACACACACACAAACACATGTGTGTCTTTATTTATTTATTTATTATTTATTTATTATTTATTTATGTTGTTATGCCATAAATTTTATGGCAGCGGTCTATTATCGACTGCAAGGGAACGAGCGATACTGCAATAATTGATAATTGGAAGGGATAAAAAAAAGAGAAATGAAAGAAGACTATATTGAAAATATAACATGTCTTTAGTAAAAAAAATATACTTTATTTAAAAATTCACAGACTTATTGACACAACCTCAAGACTTCAATAATAACCACTATGGTAAAGAGTACACTTAAAATACGCAGTATTATACAAAATAATCATTAAATGATTAAATTTTATATTATTAATTATATCGTTTTTTTTTGATAACTAAGATTTTCTTTTTTTACTTAATAATAAGTATAAGTATTATAAGTTATAACATATCCTTATGACTTGACTGTATTTTCTTAACGTTTGTAATTTTTAAACGTAAGAATGTTACTTAAGATTGTCTAAAATTTTTAAAAACACTAATAATGTAAATAAATAAATTTATCTATTTGCCTATCTAAAAACTTAATCTACTACAAATAAAAAAGTTTCAGTAAATACTTACTATTCCTGAAATTCCTGCCACTAAGGTTCCCAACCTAAGGGATCCACAGCAGCAAAAATTTCTTGGTAAACACTTAGCGCACTCGCCCATGGTTCAAATTTATTTAAAACCTGAAAAAGAAAAAACCTAATTTAAAGTTAAAAAACATTATGTATAATGCAACAACATGGTATGGTTTGACCATGTTAAAATGTTGATCTTAAAAGTGTTTTGAAAAGAAATTCTGAAAATAAAAAAGGAAGACATTTAAACCAGTGACTCAAAACCTGCATTGCCATACTTGACAAGATACAAAAACTACCAACTATTCTACTGTTCCAATCGTAATCTCTAGAAGGAAGTAGACCTTGTATCAAGACAGAGTTGGAATAAAATAAATTTATAATTTTTCCATTTTTGTTACTTACATTTAGATAATGCTATGGGAATATGAGACTTTGGTTTATTAAAAAAACTCAGGACATATGGATAGGACGTTTACCGGTCCCCATAATGCAAAACTTTTATTTAGTCAATGTTTAAATTAAAAGTAATATAAAAATAAATCTTTAAAATAATACTTATAATAGGAAATAAAAAACAATTTTATATAAATTTTTAAACTGCTCTTTTTCGATGAAATGGTTTTTGCCAAATTTATCTAAAACATTCCTATTATTTGTCTTCTTTAGGCAGTTTATTTTCTAAAAACATTGTATATACAGGGTGCGCCAAGTATGTGTATTGTCTATGGATATTTTTTTATTTAAAAAATACAATTAAAAAAAAGTTGGGTAATTACAAGCCTATTAAAATAAAATTTATGAATGAAAAAAAACCAGCGGTTCTTAAAATATTTAAAAATAACTATAGTTAAAAACCTTTCAAAACCAAAAACCTTTATAACTTCGTTATTACTAAGAATTTAAAAAAAGTTTTAAATGTAAACATACACAGTCTATATTTTTATTTAATTTTTCCACTACAATGTTTTAAGTTGCTATTACCATCTTTAGTTTTTATAATGGCCACCATAACTTATGTAGTTTGATACATCGTTGGATTACTTATTTTTTTATCTACTCTCTAAAAATGAATTAGTCAAAAATGACTAATTTAATAGTGTCTGCTTCTTCACTTGTACAATGGGTAACCATGGAATACCATGATATCCCAAAATTTAACAGCCAATTGTAAAATTGTCAAAAATCATGAAAGTGCAGCAGTTTTTGAGATATAGTCAATTTCATTTTAAATGGAAAATTGACTATATCTCAAAAACTGTTCTACTTTTTTTACTTTTGACATTTTCGGATTCAGGGGACAATTTTACATAAGAATTGGCTGTTAAATTTTGTGTACATGAAAAACTTTTTTTTTAATTCCCAGGAATAACAAAGTTATAACAATTTTTTGTTTTGACGGGTTGTCAGTTTTTTTATAGTTATTTAAGAACCATTATGTTAATAGACTTGAAATAACGCAATTTTTCCCTAATTTAACCGACCTCTTTAATAAAAAAGATACCCATACATAGAAGGATACATACATGGTGCACCCTGCGTATGTATTTTTCTTATGTTTAAATCGATTTAAATTAAATTTATTACATTCCTGTTTCTATACGAACATAAACAACATTTTTTTTTTTAAATTTGCGTGGACGTTTGAATACACAAGCGTGTCTAGGTCACTATTCAAACTATAAAAATCTAAATCGGTATTTTTTTACTTTATATTAAAAACATTTATTCTATTTTTATAACAGACATTCCGTTGTTTAAATGTTGTAATGGTTTTATATCTTATGTTTTGTTTAAACGTTTTATAAATTGTTTGTTTTTGTTCATTAAGTTATAATTATATAAACAGCTTAGCGATTTCTATAAATAGGTTTTTGTTGTTTATAGAGGAGCATGCCAAATTTAAGATTCTTAATTTTTGATGTTTTTAAGATGAAATATAGAAAATAAATTTACTTATTCCTAACTATACATTTCGATTCTATACATTAAAATTACTACCCTCTAAATTTGTTCTATTTTTACTTTATTTTAGTAGGTATCATTAGGATAGTATCATTAATTATTTAATTTTAATCATAATAAATAAAACGTTGTATTTAAGTTTAATAAATATTGATAACTACACTCATAAGATAATAAATTAAAATATTTGTATGGTAAAATTAATATTATTGTTAATAAAACATCCATATAAGTAATACATATTAGGTATTTCATAAATAAACAAAAATGTTAACTATAGTTAATATATTATTTTAAAAATAAATATTATAAATAATTCATTTGTCAATATTTATTAATGTTTTTAATTTAATATTTATTATTATGTATTATTTATGTTTATGTTTATATTGTAGCCATATGAATGCATCCCTTGTTTGCAAGACGTTGTCAACACGTCGATTAGGACCACAATTTATGGCCCTCCGAAGTTATTTGTTTGTTTATGTCTGGCAGAGAGGCGGGCGACGTCGGCAAGTGTCGAATATACGTTTTTAAGAAAAGCAGGGCATTCAATTAGAACCTTTCGTTAGATACACTAGACTTTAGTTTTTGTTTGATTGTTTTATTCTAAATAGTAATTAAAGCTTATTTTAAATCATAGTCTAATTTCCTTTATTTAAATTAACATAGTTTACAGTTCAGGTGCGGGGTAAACTTACGTGAATTTACGGTTACCTGTGTTTTAGTTAAGTTAATTATTTAGTGATTAGTGTTAAGTTACGTGAGTGTAAAACAAAAAGAGAAACGATGGGCAAAGGAAAACGACGTTGTCGCCCTCGTAGCTCTAGCTCTTCGAGTAGTGATTCCAGCAGCGAATCGTCAAGCTCTACTGATAACAGATACAGACGTACGCGATCTGAACGGGGCTATACTCCACCGAGACGAGACAATAGGCCACCCTCTAAGGAAGGAGCCGGTACACGCAAGCGACAGTTACGCACGTCGCGAGAAAAAGGAGCATCAAGCACATCTCGCGGTTTGAGTTACGTATCAAACAAAAGCGATATTGAAGAAAATACTAGGTCCAGCCAACGAAGTTCGAGCGATACATACGAGGCCAGGATAAAACAACTAGAAACAATAATAGCGGGAATGTCGAATCAAAATCACAATTCCGGAAATCGTAGGTTAGCAGTAAAGAGTGATTGTATTCCTGAATTTTGTCCCGAAAATGAAAATATGTCCGCCGTTAAGTGGCTAGAGAAAATTGAGGAGCTTAAACAAATTAACGATTGGGACGAAGTAACGACAATTTACCACATGCAAGCTCGATTTTCTGGAATGGCGAAATCTTGGTATCACAGTTTAAGTTCGATACGACATACCTGGCCCGAATGGAAAGTTTTAGTTGCCAAGACTTTTCCCGACCATGTCGATTACGCTAAGGCCCTTAGGAAAATGTTAAACAGAGAAAAACTGTTAACTGAAACAATGACAGCATATTATTTCGGCAAGATGGAATTATTAAGAACTTGTCAAGTAACAGGAAAGAATGCAGTTTCATGCATAATAGATGGTATTCCAAATGCCGCTATTCAAAATGCTGCTCGTGCGGGTCGTTATGACAAACCAGAGAAACTTTTTGAAGGATATTTATCAATGTTACGTGAGGAAAGTACCATTGAAGTATCGACACAAAAGACAGAGGGTTCGATAAGGCGACCCCCAAAAGTGGATTTACGTCATTCACTTGCACGTAATAGTAAACCGTACGCAAAATCAGATGTTTTAAATGTGAGATGCTTTAACTGTAAAATGAAAGGTAATTTTCAGTCAAAGTGTCCGAAACCACGTGTTAGTTGTTCAAAATGCCATCTGTTAGGACACGAGGCCGATCGTTGCACTGTAAATGTGGGAAAACGACCAGCTGATCGACAAAATAAGGGTGAGTCGAAACCAATTTTAATATTGTCAAATAATCAGTTGTCTAGTACTTGTTATTTTATTGATTGTATAATCAACGATGAACCTATACGGGGCTTTGTAGATTCAGGTTGTGCCGCAGTCACAATTCGTGAATCGGATGCGCGTAAATTAAATTTACAGGGTGAACCTACACTAGTACGTTTGTGTGGTTATGCAGGAGGTTCTGTTGTAGCACGTTCAAAGGTTACATTAAAATTAAATGTTGATTTAGCTTTTGCTACCGTAGACGCACTCGTGGTACCTGATAATGTACAGGATGTTCCTATTATTATAGGCCAGCCATTTTTAAATAATGATAATGTCACAGTTTTAGTTAGGGGTCACCAGGTCCGACTTTTTAATCAAAATAACGTCAATATCACCAATATCGATGACTTTTTATCTAAGAAAATTGATTTATGTGTCGAGGAAACTGCTATTATCCCACCGAATTTTATAGGTCATATTTCGCTAATTAGACATGAAAACGTTAGGGATGTTTTTGTAGACCTAAAGTATCGAAATTGGAATAATAATTTTCACATTATTTTACCGTGCGTTATAAATATGAATAATAGTAGTAGCATCCCTGTTGCCAATATATCCGATAAGCCTGTTTGTTATGAAAAAGGCAGGGTACTTGCCAGAGGCTATACATGTAATGCAGATTCGAAAATACCATCTAAAACTTGCTTAACAACAAATATTGCTGATTTGCCACTTTTTACATTATTAGATATCGAAAGACAAACTAATTTAGAACTAGACAGCATTACACGTTCTAAATTACTTAAATTAATTAACGAATATAGGGATTGTTTTGCTACAAACTTAGGGGAGGTTGGTAAAACGAACGTAACAGAAATGTCGATCTCACTATCCGATAGTGAACCAGTAACGTATCGCCCTTACCGTATGCCTTTCACAAAACGCGAAAAAGTCCGCACAATAGTCCAAGACCTTATTGATCATGGTATAGTTCAAGAGTCAGAGTCTCCTTATGCTAGTCCTATATTGTTAGTAAAGAAAAAGAACGGCGAAGAAAGAATGTGCATAGATTATAGGGCCATAAATCGCAAAACTATTAAAAATAAATACCCACTGCCACGAATTGATGACCTTCTAGATAATCTAGAAGGAAATTCTTATTATACAACATTAGACCTCGCCTCTGGGTATCATCAAATACCGATGGA